ACAGGGCTGAAACCAAGCCAGGGACTGACCTTGTCTATGCACACACTTAGAAACAAGGGGCAGCTTCTGTGACAACATGGGTTTAAAATCATGTCCTTGGTACGTGCGTGTATGCCAGCAATGGAATGAGAGAACAGCACACTCATCCAAAGTAAAATCTGCTCCAGGCTAAAGCACAGAGGGCTATTCTTGAGGCTTCCCCTCTCCAAAGCAAACAGGAGCATTCCTTATTTTCCCATTTATTTAAAAAGCCCACCACACATTCCTGGGCACTAGCCTATCCCGAGCCAACCATGGGATGAGAGCTTCTATGCTGTATATCCCAGGAAGAAATTGGTCTAACTTGGGAACAGCCTAACAATTGGTACCTTCTGATGGTCGTTTAGTGGTCTGCAAAGCGCACCACAAATCTCGAGAGACTTGTTTTCACATCATTAAAGCTACCCTCAGAACTGGTCTCCACACTGATGGTTTCAACGTAAAAAGCAAAGGGCTGTCCAGAGACCTGCCGCAGGAGCATGTCAGAGGCGTGTGGCCGTGCCAGGTGGGTCCATCCGAGCCATACCTGCACGGAGAACGTGAACTCCCAGGCTCCAGCACTTCTCCCCAGCCACACCTCGCCTCCTAAATCTTTGTTCCCATAGGGTACAAAAACACTGTTGTGGCAACCATCAGAGATGCCCTAGTCGACTCATCAAGAAGAGGGACATCACCATTATGCCTCAGGGCTGCAGAAAAGCCATTTTAAAGCTCACAGAGAAAGAAGACTAGAGAAATGGAAGCCACAGCACGAGCAAGTTTGCATTCAGGCAGCACCAGGGAAGAAGTTTCTTGTTACCTCCAGCATATGGTCACCATAAGGCATTGCAATGCAGTCACTTTTCAACTTTACCAGGAAGAAGCCCTGCAACACCATCTAAGCCCTTAAACGCAGAGCACAGCGCGTGTTCATTTCTCCACCATGAATGACAGCAAAGAAGTTTTCTGTGTGGGGTAGTACAACTGGACATGTCATTTTAGGGGTCACATGAAGAATTTCTGAATTAGAAATCCAGCACTTAGGTATAGCTTTCCTGATTGTATTTTCTACTCCAGGCAGACAGAGAAGAAAACAACCAACCCTTTATCTCCGCAGCAGTAAACTTTCACTCTCCCATACGCATGTGAAAGAATTCCCTGGGAAACAAGTACATAACAATGTTGTGGTCAGAGTTTAAAACCTAAGTCCAATTCAACTAGAAAGCTGCAGGTTGATTTTGCCCTTTTCACGAAGGAGCTAAATTCAGTGGCACGCAGTAGACAGAGCTGCCCAGCAGAGCCTCCCCCCCTATTTGTTATTTTTAGCAATTTAGTCTGACAACGCCTGACAACTAAACACACTGAATATAGCAGGAGAGAAGGGGACTATCAGATATTATCAGAGAAAACACACAGCGATAATCACTTTCTCCACCCCTAACGAAGAATCAATTTTCCATGTCTTTATAACATCATAGAGTTTGTTCTTTTTAAAATGCCACGTTTAAAAACAGAATCCATCTAGACCTACAATGGAAACGGATAACATTTCCTGAAACAAAGCATTGTTCCACCCCTCACATATCATGTTTCCTTAAAAACAAGGGAAGAAAAACATTACTTGGTTTTTCTCCTAATACTGCACAAACATTGCTGAACTAAAAAGAGTCTGTGCTCATCCCTTTAGAATGCTTTCAAAATAGATTTAACACATACCCCTTGTACTGTGAAACACAACAAGAATTTGATAGTATCAGGACTGGAAAAATCCAATCGCTACTACTAAGCAGGAGCTTCCCATGCCAGTATGTGAGTGAGCCTATGCCATCAATCTCTGCAAGATTCAGGCAGATTTTTGTAAGCCTCACTGGCACAGCCTTTAACCAGGCATGTGTATTTTGCCAGCAAGCCTGGGCAGTCTATTTAGATTCCAAAGGATTATATGCAAGTCGTGAAGTTAAGAATGCTACATGTACATATTCACGTTCATGCCTTAGCTTTAACACGAAGGGTAAAGCTACCTTGCTTTTTCTGCAGAGTAACTGACAGGCTATGCATTTGCCCCCTCATACACATCCATACCCACTTTGGTGTTTTCAGAACACAGTTCCTCTCACTAAGTCCATCCAATGTGTATTCCAGCCAAGCCTCATTTTCACAGCCCTGTACAGAGACAGGTCTAGTTCTCCTTGTTGCTTTGCCACGCAATGAGCAGCAGGGAGGCCTAAACTAGCAGTATCACATCAATTTTGTGATGCTGCCTTAAAAAAGGCAATGCACTGCTTCAACAGCAGAGGAACTCAAGAGATGGGAGTGAGGGAAAGGGACTATAACTGCCATCATGCATTGCACTGGAGACTATCAGAGAAGGGAGAAAAGAAGCTTTTGAACCAGATGCAAAACCCCTCACTGTTTTCAAAGTTCACTCTGACAGCTGTGAATGTCAGGAAACCCAGCTGACATCTCTGAAGCAAGTTCAAGTCCACATTTTCCTGAATAGTCAGCACCTAGGAGCGCTTTCCTACACAGCTGGATGGCTTTACAGAAGAGCTCCAGCAGTGAACCCAGCCCTCTGTGCTGTGCTCCTCTGCAAACAGCACCAAGCTAGAAGTGAAAGCATTTCTCAAATCCAGGCCTGTATCAAAAATACACATTTCACAATACTTTGGCAATAGCACTGTAATGGCAAGGCATAATTATTTCAAGCTCACGCTGCATGAGTAACCAGAGCAGTCACACCGTATGGATGCTGAAGGATTACTCTGACCAGCTTGATTCAACTATGCAAAGTGAGAAACGCAAGTTAGGTTTATGTTTTACGTTAACTACCTTGTTACTAAGCTTTAAAATCCTTCTGGTTTTAATAACAGATGGGGGGAAGTTTTAACCCATCTTTGTTTGATATTTATTTTACAATGATGCAGTGGAAGCACAAGGTTACAGAGTTTCACATTCTTTCCTGCTTCTGTCACATCTTATTTTCAGGACAGAAAAATCCCCTACTCCTGTGATAAGTGCTCTCTGACTTGGACTCAGGTCCCCTGAAATCTCTATTTCCAGCAGCTGTCAGTCTAAGAGCTTGTCCTCTTCATGGGGAATCCCAAGTCTAAGGAAAACCCTTTTCACAAAACTGTCAGCCTGTTGGAAACAGAGTAGTTAAAAGATGGACTTGAATGTTCATTTGAAACAAACTGTCCAAAGTTTTGGCAATCTGAGCCCTACTATCCATGGCTAAAACAAAAAAACAACCCATGTGGCAACCACCTTTCGAGACAGTCACTATTGCTGGGAACTTCAATTCAGTGGCCATAACCAGAGACACAAGCAACAGGGAGCTGTGAAGCAGAAAAACATATTTGCAAAGCTGTCAGCTCTGAGGCTTTGTTTAAGAATGGCAAAGGTTATAATTTGGGGGGAATTCCATCCATTCTGCTGAACTCAGCAATCGGAAAGTTCAAGAGGTCAGATCATTCCTCACCAGGAACAGGAAGAAACTGAGATGCACAGCTGAAGGGCACAGTAGCCAAAAAGCTGACCACAGCCCAACAGACCTGGCAGTAAGGGACTCGATGGGCAGTTTGTAACCAGAGGCTGTCAACCACACTCCAATCATTTCCAAATCCAGATGTGCTGCTGTGAAGTTCTCCAACCCCTGTTACAGGGCTGGCTTTGAACAAAGCCGATGGCATCTGGGATGGCTCCAGAGTAGCCAGGATACAATCACTTTTATCACATAACCATAAAAATGGCTGTGCCTTGTCTGCATTAACACTACCTTAATTATATAGCCTATCCATGGATTACTTGTCTTCCCTGTGCAGAAAAAGTTCTCATGGCCAGAAACACAAAACCCCTTAGTATCTGGCACAGAAAACACTCCAGGCGACACAACATATGGCGACATGCTCATCCTACAGCTCCCCAGGCAAGCTGAGTTTTAAGAAGGAATTTTAAAAAATACAAACTCTACTTCCGCTTTAGTGTAAGTAGGAGACGAGAGAGAGAACTGCACAGGTCTGAGTAGGTTTGAGCACTGACTTCCTATTCCTGCTTGTCCCTACTTAGCTGGTCTCCACACTCACTTTCTCCAAACACTAACAGATGAGATAAGCAGCTTGACACAACGGAGTCTTTGCTTCCTCTGTCATTCCCCCAAAACCAAGGAACAGGGTTTTGTATTAACTATATTTTAGGGGCATTAAGAAAAAAATACACTACCAGCCTTGGAAAAGTACATTTTGAACATCTCCTCCAAAGAACTGTAAGCTGTACATGTAGCCACTAGAAGATAGTCAAGATTCACTAGATAACTTGTTAGAACACTGGAACTAGCGCAGACACTACTTTATATTTCCTAGATATTCTTCTCTGCCTTGAAAACTCCAACCAGATAAACATAAGAACATTAGAAGTGCTCTGACCACATCATCAAAACAAAGTCCGTTCTTCCCACTAGATCTGGTCTTCAACAGCAGCCACAAGTAGATGCCTAGGGCAGAGTGTAAGGACAGGGCAGGCGTATACAAGACTTCCTCCTCATACTTTCCCAGCCTCCACACATTTATAGCGCAGGGACTTCCTGAGCAGGATGCCACTTCTACATATTTGGTAATTCTCAATGGATTTCTCTTCCATGAATTTGTGCAATTGTCCTGAGCCAGTGAAAACTTTTAATACCCACAGCACTGGCAAAGTTTCACATCACCTATCAGCTGCAAATAACCACACAAACATCCTTCTGCTAGTTTTAAACCTTGCTCCTACTAATCTCAATTGAATCCCTCACCCCCAGTTTTCATATCAGCACACAGAGCAAACAATCAATCCCTACTGGAGTTGTAGGTTACTTCTAACAGGCACTATGTTTCACCTAGTTACAATCCTTCAGAATTAAAAGTACCAGATAAAAACAAGGGATGTAGCAAACATCCTGTTGACCTTCAAAGTTCTACTTTCATCAACATTACCTGCCAAAAACTTACCTCTAATTCCTTAATTTTCTCTTCGGCTATTCTCTGTTTTTCTAAAAGCTGGTTATGAATCACTCCTTTAGACTGAAGAATAAACCTACAAGTGCAAAAGAAGAGACAGACAACTGTTGAACATTTTTACATCTGTTGTACACCTAGCTAAACTACAGTGACGTCTACAAAGTATTCATCCTCAACCCGCGCACCGTGGACAGAGGCAGAAGAAATTGCTATGACAGCTCACACAAACCACCAGGCTGGCCTCAAAGGTTTGCTCAATAATCTCACCCATGATTCGGGTGGAAGAAAATGGATGCATACAGATCTCCCTCTAGCATTCAGTGTCCTTGCATGATTTGAAAGTAGATCTTGCACACAGCTACCAAGGGGAGCCTGTCGTCACATCCCCTTCAAAGGGATCTAAATCGGTTGATGCCATATAGTCAAGGAAGCTTCTTTCAATGGGTAAATGTTATTTATGACCGTTTTAGTGCTCACAAGCTAAACAAACCTGCACAATAAATTCAAAGCTTTCTACAGAGAAAGGCTGAGAGAGTGGGGGTTGTTCGGCTGGAGAAAGAGAAGCCTCTAGGAAGACCTTACTGTGGCCTTTCAATATATAAAACAGGCTTACAAGAAAGACACAGAGACTTTTCTCCAGGGCCTGTAGTGACAGAACAAAGGGCAAAGGTTTTAAACTGCAAGAGGACAGGGTTAGACTGGACATAAGGAAGAAGAAATGTTTTATGATGAGGGTGTTGAGGCACTGGAACAAGTTGCCCAGAGAAATTACAGATGCTCCACCCTTGGAAGAGTTCAAGGCCAGGTTGGATTGGGCAACCTGGGCTAGTGGAGGTTGTCCCTGCCCACAGCAGAGGGCTTGGACTGGATGGTCTGTGAAGGTCCCTTCCAACCCAAACCCTTCTGTGATGTGATGATACAGAGCCAGGTACTTCCACCAGAAACACAGAGCCACAGTACACCTGCCTTTACTTCAGCTTTCACAGCTCCCACTGCTCAGGGCTTGGCTTTAACACACACTCTCACTGACCTCCAAATTCCCATGCTTTCTACATTCGGAGGGCTTTTCTGTGGGGTGGGAAATGGTCATTTTTAACTGAAATTGGAGCCATTGGTTTCCACTTGTTCTGTTTTTTTAATTGCCAAATGGATTTGAAAGATGCATCCATAACATCTCAGTCACAGTAATCCTGCTCACCAGCATGCAAAAAGCTGCCTGACTTGCTCAGAAGAGCCTCTGAAGGAACACCAGCAGCCAAAGCAGCTCTCCAGCATGTGGCACTGGCATCCCACAAAGAGGAAAACTAAGTCCAAATGAATTTTGGGAACCGTCCATAGTTGTCTTTCATCCTTCCAGACATAAAGAATGCACAAGCCGCAGATTCGCCCCTTCCCTACTTAGAAAGTCCCCCAGGGGATTTAAAAGGAGCCTCCACGGGTCATACCAATGAGTTCAAGGTCTCCCTCCAGCACCAACTAGGGTCAATGTCTTCCTGCCAGGTGACAAGAGTTCATGCTTCAAGAGTTAAAATGAGCAGCTTTAGACAGGGCAGAATCAGAGCGCATTCCCTGTCTGCTATAGAAAAATCTGAAATCAGTTTGTAGTGCCATCTCCCATGACAAATGACATTATTAATAGTGTTTGCTCGGGGCCTGGTAAACACAAATGCAGATCTGAAACTTGGCTTGATGCCCAGCACACTCTGCATCAGCAACACAACAGTCAAAAGGAAAACTACCTGCCACATGCATTCCTGAATTGCATGGGAGCAGAACAGTGGTTAATTATAACAGGTTTCCAATTAAAACTCTCTTCGGTGCTGCTATTAACTGCACTTAGCAATTGCTTCCTCTTCCTTCTCCCACTTCACCTCCTCTTTTCTACAGTAACTTCTGCTAGATCTTTTACATTGCAATTTTCTCAAATCTCTCCTCATTTCTTCCCAGTCTCAGCTCATGCTTATTACTAGTGTCATCTTTGTTCCGTATCTGCTCCTGTTCTTTACAGCACAGTTCACTCATACTCTCCTTGTTCCCTTAATGCCCCACTTTCATGAGGTGTCCCCACAATCCACTTTCACACAGTTGGTAATGTTTTCAGGTCCCAGCACATGCCAGCCTTCTGAAATAAGATGTGGGGTTTGCTCAGTCTTGTGAAAATCAAGTCCATGACGACCCTTCCAGGAAAAAGAAGTTATTTACATTGCTATTACATGCAGAGTCTGGATCCAGCCAGAGAGGAGCTACTTTTCAGGACCACCAGCAACCACATCATTCTGCCGCTCTTACCTTGAGCCTGCAATACCAGAAGAAACAAACATTAGCCTTCACACACGCACCCTGTAGATTCTGGGGCGAAGACTACAGTTTTGCCCTGCTTCTGCAGTAGCTGCCATTAGTGAAAAATCAAAGCTGCAAGGTGTCCTCAGTAAAAAAGCCATCAGTCCTTTCCAATATCACAGCTTTCCCAAGCCTGTGTGTGTGCAAACATTCCCTTACTTATTTCCTCTTTTTGTGGGGGCAGCAAAGATGAACAGAATACCTTCTCATTTGCTTCCTCAAATTGTATAGCAAGATTGATCATTTTGGTTTCAGTGATGCCCCTGGTCTAAGAAACAAAGTTAAACACCAGTACAGCTTGATCAATTTTCCCCATGCTGTGGCTGGGAAGGTCTGTGCTGGGCTACAGGCGCTGAGCAATACCGGCTGGCTGAGAACCACTATGGGCACTAAAACCTTTGAACAAACAAGCGTCTGACTTCACTTCTATTCTGCAAATGTCAACAGCAGTCATCAGGGAAAATATCCTCCCTCCTGCAATGCTCTGGCAGACATGCGACAGCAAATTAAAATTGGATGGCTGAAGTTAGCACTGACGAGACTTATGCAGGCAGCTGGGCACAAATACAACCACCCCAATTTTATGTGCCATAAAATAGTGAGCTGGAACTTGTGTCTGTTCACACACTGGCTTAGAAGCAGATCAAATGTCCATGACTTGGCCAACAGCATCCTTCACAAGGCCTTCACCAGTACCAGCTTCAAGCCACCCATTTTAATTCCCTGCCACAAGACCACCAAACTCTCGACCTAAAGCGCACAGGTGCTGCTGTGTAAGCTGTCAAAGGCCAGTGTTTTTGAAAGCTGAAGCTATAAAACCACATCCACAGTTAACTATTTAAATCTGTGGCTTCACTTTCCAACATAAGGAGGACTCAAAAAAACTCATCAGTGCTTTAGCTTTTAGCTAGGGACACACACATTATGGAGATCTTGGCCACAGTTTTTACCTAAGGAAATAATGTGGTTTATGGCAGCACTTGGAAAAAGCAGAAGCTTGTTCTGCTTATTAAGTAAGAGGTGCTGCAGGGCACTTGTAATAAGCTGGAGTTTAAATTCTTCTAATTACACTAAGTAAAACACCAACTTCATTCCCCGCCCCCCCAACCAAGCTGGAGAAATAGGACAGCATCATTCTGCTGCCTGGTTTTAGTTAAATGTGGTTATTTTATTTATGATTTTTACGAAAGAACCATGGGAGGTTCTGAGGACTTAGTTCTTCCCTGAGTAAGTTTGCGAACAAGCCTTTCAAACACATGAACTTCATTCACTGCCTGGAGGTACAGCACCAGCTGAGAACCGGCCCCACATTAGAGTCACCTCAGCATCACAGGCCTGAGGAGCCACTTTCTGCTCTGCGATGCTGAGCTTGGCAGATGACATGACTAACAGCAACCCCTTGGCGCAGATGAGCACCGAAGAGCTACCTCCGTAGACCACTCTGCCAGAGTCCACCATAGGAGGCTCCAAGAGTTTGTACGTGTAACTGGGATGGCTTTTAAGCATCAATAGTCCACAGAAAACAAGCAACAAACCAAATCCTCTTCCAAATAAATGAGTTCCCTCACGTCCGCCTTCTCTCAGTGAAGTGTCTGTTAGTGTCAGCACACACTAACAGATCTGTCAAACATGACACCTACACTATCAAACACGAAACAATGATTCAGAAAAGTGTTCAGCACCACAGTGGCAATTACAAAGCTTAATAACAATCACCTCTTCACACAGGAACTTTTTCACTGTTGTTAAATAACACCAGAAATATCTGGGTCAGAATGGACAAGTTCACCACATCTCAGTTGGCCACCCATTTCAAAGGGAATGGCTAGTAAAGACAGAGCAGGATTTGCCCTATTCCAGATACTTAGCCATTTTTCCAATGTCCACAGATAAGTGTAAAAACTCAAAACAAAAATTGGAAAAGAAAGCTACAAAGGAGTTGGGTCCTCGGGGACAGCAAGGTTCAGCCAAACCTGGGCTGCCAACAAGAGCGGCTCTGTAAGAGTGAAGTGTTTGCAAACTGGCTTTACCTATGCGCTCTGGTCTCCCAGTGACTGCTGGTTCTCAAGTGCAATACAAGGAACAAAAATAGAGCACAAGGGAACTGAAAGAGAAACCTCACTCTAAATATTCCCACTTGTTACTATTTTCCTCCCTCTGCTAGCTCCACATCGGGATTTCTGTTTCCCTAAGGCAGAGAAAGTGGTTTACATACTCTCTCTGAGACTCATGGCTTCTTTCCTTCTGAAGGGATCTCCTACCACTTCCCAATTATAAGTTTCTAGATATGCTGCCCATTTGTTCACTGTTTATACAGCACTCCCTTACGCCCTGGTCAAAATGGTCTTCAGGCTGTAGTCTGGCTGGTCAGCAATGCTATCAACTTCATCATCGGTCTGCTCCTTTGTGTCACATGTACACACCCACAAAGTGATGTTCGTACAGTGTAAGTAATTCCATAACTCAGTCTGCACCAAAATGTACTGTTTACTTGACTTTAAGACATAATATTAGATACTGAAAGATTCAGCTCAATGAATGAGGTTATGGAGATGTTTGTTCAGCACGCCCCACTCTTCATTATGACATACAAGTCATTAAAGTTATTAAAGGTGGAGTAGCAGTGATGCTCATAGTTAAGGTTTTCCATTAAGAACCCCTATTTTCACTTACTTGCAACCGCAACCAACTTCAACCTTCATGTCTGAAGCTTTCGGTCACAGGCATCTGTCCCAG